CCCGCGCGATGACATCAAAATGATAAAAGTCGAACAGCACAAAGGCAGCGGAAAGAACAGAACGTTAAGGAACTGACTCAGCGAAGAGTCAACAACAGCTGACTGCCTCAACAAATTGCAAAATAAAATAAAGGTTTGGAAAAAAGATATACTGACAATAACGCAAACGAAGAAAAAATTTATATTCTATTAAATTTTTATTTTTAAAAATTTTCTAAATAGAAAACTTAAGATATTTCCAGTTAGAAATATTTAAAAGCTTTCTGAAATAGCAAAAAAAATCTTACAAATATTTTTTTTTATTTCAGCAGTTAGAGATCTAATTAAAAATATGTATGGTCAGTTAAGAAATGAAACGATTTGTTATTACTTTTAAGACGATTTATTTTTTCCTGTGCATATATATAGATTTAGCTGATAAGTCCTATAAATAAAGCTAAGTATTCAAATCGTTAGCGCCAACCTGTCCAAGCCATTGATGAGCTCATAATTTGGTGGAAAAAATAAATATGAGGGAACCGAAATTAATCGACAGCGATTTCTTTGTATTGCTCGAAATGGAAAGAACCCAAGGGGATTGGTATTTAAAGGGGGTAGATACTTTTGGTTCTTAGATTGGTTATCTAAGGCAAACACAGACCACTATACACTTGACTAGGCCACCTCCATTGGTATTGATATTGATACGAAAAGGAATTGAATTCCATTTCCAAGTCAATATATTTCTTTTCTTCGGCTGTAACTGTTCTTTATGGTGCTCCATTTGACTTTTTGCTGATAAAGCAATCGTCTTGTGGTTGGTGTACATAAAGCATAGCGTAGTTATGGCATGTTTAGTAATCGGTTTTGGGGTCAGTAATTTGGTAATTGAAAATCACACTAAGTATATATACCGAGCAAAATGGGTCAGCATAATAATAATCATGTGGCGGCAAAAGAAAAGAACAAAAAAGCGTTAAAACTGTTTATTGGAATACCAGAGAATGACAAAGCGAAAGAGATATGATACAGCAGAACGTTGGCGAAGACATAACAATCAAAGACACAGGCAGCACAAAAACTTTGCTTAGAAATTGGTTATTAACAAGTTCCAGACTACAGCAGAATTTGGGAAAAGAATGCATAGTTTTCTTCAGAAACTGTGATTTAAGATAGTTTTTGATTAAGTTTAAATACTTTTTGCCGTTTATTGATAGGAAACCATTTTAAGGAGTAATAAAGTTTAACGAACTTGATCTAGTTTTTTTCTTGCAAATTATTTGCATGGCTTGAAGAGGATGGCTTTAAAATGGCTTGGATTATATCAGTGGTTAACTTAAATTGATTTTTATGGTTTTCAAGAGTTTCACCACATTTTCAATTTCTCTTGCAAAATCAACTTGTACAAAATCAACGATAGATACTATACAAGTTAAGGTTAATTCACCCTATTTTAAAAACAAATATATACTAACTTTAAAGTCAGTTGAGATAGCTTGTGACTTCGGAATGATTTGGAAATGCACTTGTTATTAATTGTCACCTGAGGAAGTGCCTGGCGCCTTTTCCGCCTTTTGTATAATCAATCTCATTGGCAGCTTGAACGGTTTCCGCCTCTGTGGCGTTGATAGCCCCATGATAACTTCATCACCTCCAACATAATTCATTTCACTTTTCTGTTTTTACAGCCTTTGCCATGTAAATGATATTTTTGGTGTGTAAGCAGTGATAAATGATACAACGACTTGGAGGGAGATGTTTCTCCAGGCAGAGATGTTTACAAAAGTTATCTTTGAGTGGTTGGGTGTGTATGTTTTTTTTTTTGAATTGGCTTGGGAAAGTTGTGTGTTTTGCCCCCCTCACATCCCATGGGATTATGCTGATGAGAAGGAAACTCCGGGTCAGTCGAAAAGGTTAACGAAAAAAGTTTGGCCGGCAATCAAGAGTTGTGTGTTATTTTCTGTTTGCCAAACTTTCCATGGCCATCTGATGTGGATCTGAATTGGCATTTAATAAACTGTCATTATTACTTGCCTCTCTTGAAAAGGGGTTTTCTGACACTTGGGGAGACAATCAAAAAGAAAAAAAAGAAAAGCCCACCCAACGAGTTTTTGGCAGCAGTCGACGTATGAAAACATTTGCTTGCTAGACAGTAAAAATCATGTGCAATTTGTCATTGATAGGCGACACTGAAATCCGATTCCTCTGGCCCCCAAACCGACCATATTGTTTATTTATTCGAGTCTGAGGCTAAACTTCTGGGGAACTCGTTTGGGGTTTGGGGACAGCTGAGTTGGCCGTAAAGGCAATGGAAGTCGAAGACGAAGCCGCCTCAAGTTCTCAATCTCAGCCCGAAAATCAATTTCTGTATCCTCTGTTTTAACACTTCAGCGAACATTGGAGCCTCGGCTCCACCCGAAGGAATCTAAAACTAATTTAAATAAAACCCAATCTGGCATAATTCGCTGCCTCTGCGGGTAAACGACAAACTTTCAACCGTAGGACGATTTTCATTTTTATGGTGACCCTCCTCCATGTTTTCGCTTTCGCTGAACTTGAAGAAGATTAGAGGTGGAGGAGCAGGAGGTGCCAAGCCATGTGGCTCTGCATGCTGATGACTATCCAAAAAATCCAAAAGAGCGAATCCTTAAGACCCGACACCCATCAACGGAGCGCAGAAACAAAGCACAACACACATAAAAATGTGTAGGCAAAGAGATAAGCAAACATTTTTGTTGCCTTTCCTTTATTTTCTTTATTTTCCACACACAATGAAAAGCGAAAGTGGAAGTGTTTGCAGTGTCTGCTTTTAGGCCTTGGCTGGGAAATGTCCAAAGCACGATGGGCACAATAGAATCACTTATATAGGTCGAAGTCGCCAGTCGCTAGTTATGGGGCCAAAAAGAACCATAGCTGGACCATAAAAAATTACAATAAACAGCAATAGCAACAGCAGCAGCCGTCCAGACCACAAATACAAATAAAAATGGCTGAGAAAACTCGAGGAATTTATATTGCCCGCAAATAAATGGTTTGTCTTTACAGTACGTATCAAAGAAATTAGAGAAGAAACAATAAATTTATAATATTTATTATCAAACAAATTGTGCAAAACTACTACAAAATTGTTGGCAGGATTAAATGGTTCTTTAACGAGATCAAATCAGTTTAGCTATTTTTGGGTTTAATGTTTTTGGCTTTTAAAATTGAACGAGGGACCTATTTATTTTTATTTACTTTATTTGTAATGTATTATATTTTGTTATTTCTGCTCTGTTATTTGCTGGTATAAATATCAATGAAACGAACTGTCCTTTAGTACCTTCTCCTTGTTGGTCTTACAGCTACATTCTGTTCAACGTCTATCTGTCTGTCTGTTTCCCTCTCGTTTTGTCGGAAAATTAATTTAGCGGCATTTCCATTTACTGAATGGAAATTAATTAGCCACGCAGTGCTGTCGAACTCTGGATGCGGTTGGCCAGCTAATAACCTCAGACGCTGCTGATTTGGTCAAGAAATTAGATTCTCCTCGCTGCAAATGAATCTTAATATTGGTTAAAGATTGCAATTGGCTTTGGTGGAAGGGCAAAGAGAAATTGATGCCCTTCAAGTCGATATTAATGGGAGGTGGTTTTTGGTTAATAAAACCTTGGCTTGTACGTGAGTATGTTTGTGTTGCAAAGTGGATAGCTAAATTATTATTTGAGTTGCTTATCAAACCATTTGGAGAAAATAAACTAAGGCATTTGTAAGCAATAGCTTCGAGAGCGTAGAAAAAAATGACCTTTTTTTTAATACAAAACTTTTTATCAAATTAAATTATGCTTAGATAATATTTTGCTTTTCTTAAACATCTTTTTATTATGGTTTCTGAAAAATGATACAAAGTTTACTTAAACTTTGAATGCATTTATTATCAGTTAATTAAAATTTTGTTTATTCCTTTCTATATCTTTATCCAGAGTCCTCATTCGTTGTTGTTGTCAGTGCATCGACCCGATTTCGTGTTTGCATACAACTCTTATCGGGCGATGACTAAAGCTGCATACGGAATTGATAAACTGGTCGTTACTCCGCTGAACTCTATAAAACCTTTCGCCAATTTGCAGAAACCACAACACCCACTCCAAAACATACCCCTTTTTGCATCCCCTCGCCCAACATGTGTCTGTATGGCCCGAAAATGGGTGGCAGTCTTTGGGAGACCCTCGTTTTATGGGCTGATAAAAGGACTTTGCAGCAATCAAAAACCGCAAACATGTTAACCGTTAATGCCCCCAGACACCTATAAGAGTGCTCAGTCCTTTTCCGGGTCCCGGGGTCCCGGCCATAAATGCGCCAAATATAAATTATATTTAAACAAAATAAAAAAGGCAACACCAGAAAGGGACCATCCGGTTACAGGCCGCTCTTTTTCAGATCTCAATAATTCAAAACAATTTCGTTTTATTGCCGGCAAGTTTTCGGGGGTTTTCATTGTTTGGCTCGCATTGGGAGGGGGTGGTAAGTGGGTGGCAAAAGCGGTGCGGGATTTGTATCCTCCGAGCACAGTTTAACCTCAACAAAAGCATATTGACCCTCTGCACATGGTCAACCCTTTTTACCTCTTGCGAGGGTCGCGTGAAAAGCCAACACATAAAACGGATGAGAAATTAAAGATGTGCACGGTGAAAAAAAAAACTAAATGAAAGCTAAATTTTTTCAATTTAAATATCGCTTTAATTTGTTAAAATGCCTTCAGCAATTAATACTGTTAGAGCAGTTAGCAAAAGTTACAATTATAATTCGTTTAAGATGAGAAACATATTACAAAAATTGTATATAAATTCTTAACATAACATACAATTACATTTTTTTATAATTATGGGTTTGTAAGCAAAAAATAAATGTTTTTTAATTTCATTCCACCAAATGGCTAAGCCAATTTGCACGAACTTTTTGAGTAACAATGTCATGAAATTGTGTTTAAGTTTTTTTCCGTGTGATAATGAAAATCTATTGGGGGATCCCCGGAAACTTACCGTTATTTGCTCCGCTGCAAGTCTGATGGAGATGAACGGGTTCGTAATCCTTTTAGCGCCGGTTTAATGAGAAATTCCTCCACAACCACTGTACACACAATCACTCCACCAAAAGGACACACACAAGCAAGCACTGTCCTTTAATTATCCCAACGGAGTGTGTGTAAAAAGTATCTTTTGGCACCCGATCAAGTTGTTTAAATTACCGCGGTGGTCCGGCTTAATTACCGTTAATTGCAGATTGCTATTGTATTTTGTAATTCGTAATTTAATTCAATCAAAAGTCGTACAGATTCAATTGACACACAGACACTTCAGTTCAGCATTTAATTAGTGGCCAATGCTGCTGCTGTTATCGCTGTTGCTGAGATAGCGTGATAAAACGGCACCAATATACACATACCCAAAGACGAAACTCGGATGTGAGCACTTGAATCTCGAGCGTCGAGAAATGGAAGATACGTAACGTCCGCACACCAAAAGATTCAAAGACCGAATGCCGATGTATGGCGATGAAAACAAGTGACGAACTCCCGCCGCTGTAAGCCCAAGTTAACAGTGTGCTAACAGAGTGCTGGCCAACAGGGCGAATGGTACCGCTCTCTCGTTTTACCCATTACTCGTAGACTAAAAGGGTATATTGGATTTGTTCAAAAGTAAGTAATAACAGAATAGCGTCTGTTAATCTTTTTGTTTCTCAGCAACAGACAAACTGATTTGACTATGTCTGTCTGACTGTATTCCAGTCTATCTGAATTAATAAAATTGGGTTTATTAAATCTTTAAATGATGAAATATTTTAAATTAACATTCAGTCGTATGATGCCCTCGAAAAAATTCATTGCATAGGGGGTATTTTAAGGTCGACTGTGTGTTTCATTCTTGTTTTAATTGTTGCTGCTTGGGAGCGGAAGAGTGTGAAAGAGCGCGTTTGTGAGGAAATTGTGTGAATGGAAGGCATGGACGCAGTTAAAAAGAAAATATTGGCAGGGGGGCAACAAATTTTTAAATAAATTTAAATGCATACATTTAAAAATTTAGTAATCATTTCCTTATAGAAAATAAATATTATATTTACTATCTTTAATGTCTGCCTTTTAAAATGCAACCAACAACATACAAGATACTGGTCACAAATCATTCTTAAATAATTATTTTTATTTTGGAGCTTCCTGTGAGCTGTTTATCATTTAAAGAAGAGCAAATATTTTAATTTTTATATCAGCCATTTTCGTACAAAAACAATTCTATATTGTATGTTAAACAAAGAAGAGATTATCATTATGCGGGAAGAATTTTTTAATATTCCAAGCCTTATCTAAAGTAAATCCCCACATATGTTTTTTTTTTTTAAAACCTCCCAGCCCTCCATCTCATCTTAAACGAAAAAATATTGGAAATTTGTGAAACTCCGGCGCCTTGTGTTAATGTATACCTATTTGGCCAAGCCTTGCGCCGGCCCTTAGAAAAGTGTACAAAATTTCACATTTTCATTAATAAAACGCCGCCATAAACCGCCCTTTAAACAGGAGCGGCAAATTATTTAAATGGACTCCGACTGAAAAACGGCGAGTGATGGTAAATCGGTTCAAAAATTGAATGTAATTAAAACCCTCGCCCATAACAAAGGGCCACTGTTTCAGCTGTAAATGTTTTCGCAGGCCAAAAAGGATATGACAATAACAACCACTTGATACATAGCGAGAAAATTTTAGCAGGAAAAAATATGTTCAACTACATTTATGCGAAACATTTATTTACTTAAAAGCACAAGGTTAAAATATAATAAATAATTTCTAGTACTTCTATCATTATCTTAATAATTTGATTTTTATTATTGAAAATTTCATTTACTGATAAAGGAAACAAAAATCCCATAACTTTACAGATTTTAAAGTTTTAAAGTTAAAAAAAAACTTTTAAATGTGAAAAAAGGTTTTAAGTGAAAAAAAATATCACTAAACAATTTTTTTTTCTAGATTCAGACTGGATAAGCCAAAATTTCTCACAGTGGGGTGCGTTGCCAAGACAACCACATCGACATCGACACCGACATTGGCCAAAGCAATTGACAAGTTTCCAGCAGGTAAGCAAGTAAAAGCAGCCAAAACAAAACGGAAAACGCTGCAAAACACCGAATTTTTCGACATAAAGAAAACTCAGCGTTGAAGGAAGGAAGCAAGGACGAGGATTCAGCACCTGCAAAAGGAGCGGAAAATTGCAAGACAAGTGTTGTGCGGATTTTCGCGGAAAACCAGGAAGTGGGCAAAAAAAGGGAGAAAGGAAACAGAATAGCCTGAGAGGACTCGCAGCTGGAGAGCTATTTGAATCTGAATCCGGGTCCTCGCAGCTGGTCTTGGCCATGAACTTCTACGACGAGGAGATCACAATCAGCGGACCCGACTCCAAGCATCTGAGCAGTGTTCAGATGGAGCCGCGAAATGGTGGACCCCAACGAGGGGGCAGGGGGGGTGCCGCAGGAGGAGGAGGAGCAGTGGGCGGAGAGGGAGAGGCAGGAGGCGCCACTGGAGGAGCACAAAGAGCAGCCGCTGGCAGGCATCGTCGAATGGTAGGTGGCAAAGTATATTTTTCGGTGAATTCTGTTAATGAAAAGTGATATGTAAATTGAAATGGAGACAGTGCGAAAAGTCTTTTTGATTTAAAGTTACTCAGCCAAATACGTGTAGGTTGAAAGCAAATTCGTGAAAATGTTAGTCATTTTTTGAAAGCTTCTATTTATTTTTAAAAATTTGTTACCTTAAAACCCCACATTTGTTACCCTTTTGTACACACAGCAATTTCAAAGCAACTCTACGGACGACGATGGCCTACTGCAGGACATAATTGATCACGATGACGAGGCGGATGACAGCGATGATGATGATGACAGCGAGATGCAGTTGCCCCAAGGTATGACCATGGGTGTGGGGATGACGGGTCTGGTGCCAGGACCCCGCACCCAAAAGCGCCCGGACAGCAATCGGAGTTCGAAGCATCCGCAGGATGACACCATGAGTTCCGGCAGCGACGAGGCAGCTGTGGGTGGAGGAATGGGATCGGGAGGAGCCAGAGGTGGTGCCAAGCTACCGCACCAAAAGTTAACCCTGCCCATGAGGAGCAGTGCTGGGGGAGGAGGAAGATCCGAGCGACAGGATGAACAATCCTTCAATATTAGTCCGGATAAATGGGAAGAACTACCCTTACCCGGGGAACTCAAGGATCTTTTTCCCTATATTGTTAAATACACCCCACAGACAATCGACACTCCGTTTCATCTGCAACCCTTTATCCCGGAATTTGTACCCGCTGTGGGGGATGTGGATGCCCTTCTGAAGGTACAGGCTCCTCCACTTCTGCAACCACAAAGGCAAAAAGAGTTGAACGATCACTTGGAAAAATTGGGCTTATGGTTGCTCGACGAACCATCTGGTACTCAAAGTGAACCCAGTCTCCTGAATATGAAACTCCGATCGGTACTAAGTGGAAGCATGGGCCGTAATCCCCGTCATGCCTCCTCCGCCTCTCTAGTTCCCACCGCCCGATCGGCCAAGGATATAGACAAATGGATCTCGGAGGTGGAACAGGTGCACATGACTCAATCCATGTACGATGCTCAGCCCAGAAAGGATATAGATGCGCTCTTGGAGGATTGGCCAAGATCTTTTGGCGATGATGAGACCAAGAATGCCTTAGATCAGGCCTACAGATCCTGCCTCCAGCAAAATATTTCTTTAGCTGACTATGTGAGAGTGCTTTGCGAGAGATTCGGAGTGGAAGGACCCCTGGAGACACAGGCGGACTACATCCACAATGTCCAGACACTCTTTGCTCTTTACTTGGCCGCAAGTCAGGCGTGGGAGTAGGCTGACCAAAAATTTTTAGAAAAAACCGAAAAACATGTATAACTTAAAGTAAATAAATATTGATTAATCAATTCAAAAAGTAAAGTAAACTTGAAATTTGTATAGCTATAGCTTTATATATAAACTATAGTTTACAAACTATAGTTACAAACTATAGCTTACATTCCTATTTAACGAATGGGCTAACTAAAAAAGAGAAATAAAATGGCTAACACAAATAATTTTGTCCATATACACTGCATTACAAATTAAAATCTAAATACAAGTTGTATGGTATCATTTTTTATAGTGTAAATAATGCATATCTGTTTATTTATCTCTAATTTAGTAAATAGTATTTTTATCACTTTTCTTTCTTGTTAGACAATATTAAAATTTTAAGGTAATTTTTTGAAAAAAGTATACTCATTTTTGTATTTATTTATTTATTCGAATTTTAGTTTTAGTTCTCTTATGCTGTATTATTATTATTTCGTTTATGATCAGATTTATCGAATACCCACCAAAAATTCAAATTATCATATTCAAATTATTGCACTTTATTTCTCAGTGCATCGGCTGGTACTGGCACCACTAATAACGCTAATGGCTTCGATTAAGTGACAGCCAGACGGCGTTTGTTTGCCCCTCTCGATGGGGATGCCTCCTTACTTTTCCCATTCTTTTCTTCTTTGTTCCAGGACCTGGCCACAAATCGATGGGTAAATGGTCAACCCATAACCAAAAGAGGGAAGCACTAAAGGTGGAATAAGTCTAGTGATTGAGAGCCAAAACGGTTGTTATGAACAAAATGGGAGGACAATCAAATGCTTACCAGCATCACATCTGTAAATGTCATAATACGTAAGTGGGGTTGTTCAATTTGTCAAGCTAGCTTGAGAGGGCTATCCAACAAATATCGGATTTAAATGCAATAGTATATCCTACATTGGAAAATGTTCTTCGACTCGTATTATGAAATTACAAATTGGTATTCGAAAACTAAATGCAACAAACTAAAATTAATCATCTTATGGGTCTACAAAAGTACCTTAATGCAGAAATTTTGCAAGGAAAATAGAACCTAAACGATTTCCAAATAATTTCTTAATTCTTACAAAAAATATTTAAGTTCTTAAGCTTTAATTCAGTGGCGTTTGCTCTAGTTTCTGGAGTAAACAAAAAATATACTTATAAATCCGCTTTTCTTTACTTGCTAGCGGGCAGGCGAGAATGAAATGAAAATGTCCTCGAGGGCGTCAGACAAACAAATTGAATGAATTCAGTTCCACTCATTCTGTTTAACATAAACTCAAGATATTTTTATCATAAGAATTTAATGTAAAATTAAATAAAGAAGTATTTTTTCGTTTACAGAAGTATATTATTGATGTTGGCAAAGTGCGAAAAGTAGCCAAAATTATTTTTAATAATTATGTGCCAACATGATTGCTTGTGCATTTAATTAAGGAAAACTTCTTTATGTATCAAGCTATATAAAAAAAACATTTTTGAATCTATAAAGCCATAAATGGTGTCTGAATACCCTAAAACTGCTATAGCCGCTGCCAACTTATTGGGGTGGGCCACACGGTGTTTCACGGTCTCCATCCCAGTTGAAACCCGTAAACCAATCATGCACTTCATCAAACACACAACAGCAGCAAAAGCAACAGCTCCAGCACCAACTCCAGCTCCAGCTGAACAGAACAAGCGGCGATGCCTAATTAGGCCCGCTTAAGACAACAGATTGACCGGGCCAAAAGCATGGACCCAAAGTGCAAAGCTTGAGTCTGGCGGAAACGGCCTTAATTATGCGTAAGCCGTAAAGAGCCCATTAATGTCATTTTCGTTGCATTGCCAATGGATGCTGGGCGGAGGGCGGTGGGCAGAGGGCGTGACAGTCACATGTTTGATCAACCGACAATTCGGGACTGCACAAATCACGCACATTCTGCGTGCGAAGGGAAGTTTTTATTTATGTGAAATTGTATTTGTCCTACTGGTTGACCTGTATTTTAAGAATATTTATTTTTGGAAGTTAGTTTCTCAGGTAAAAATATTTCAATGAGATATTTTTTATTTTGTATTAAAATGAAAACGTTTTATGAGATTCTTAAATAAAACTCACTTGACAACAGGTTAGACAATATCTATATTACTAAATATCACATTTTTGTTGTAATAATGTAATGAAATTTTGTATACAATTTTCAATATTCATAAATAAAAAAATAACATTAACATCTTTATCTGACAGAGGTCTGAGTTGTGGTACTAAAGCAAGTTATTGTTTACGTAATTTAAAGCAATTTTTCATAAATCATTTCTTATAAAGTAAACATTTTAAGAATGTATGCTCCCCATTTAAATTTAAACAACAACCGTCGACTACAATCTCCCACGCTGCCATTCAAAATATATCGATAACACAGTGCGCGCTACCCAACACTACTCAACAGGCGGTGTTGATACCTCGACCAGCATAAACAAAAAAATAATTTGTTTGTTTTGGGTAATTAAACCAACCAAATGAACCGCCCGAGCAACTGGGACGAACCCCAAGGACCCTGCAGATACTGTGAGCTGGCGGTGGAGGATGACAACTACCTGGAGTGCCAGCAATGCCGTCGAATGGTGCACATCAAGTGCCTGCCACATGCGAGCACGCCTGGCGATCTTTTGGGCGACGTCTTCTTCGAGTTCACGTGCGTCAAGTGCGTGGTGGACAGGATGCAGGGATCGGCTCTGCCCACGTCCCTGGAATCCGTCAAGGAAGTGTGTATACGCCAAAGGATTCCCTGGCTGCTGGTGCTCACTCTAACCCTGTACAACCTGTCCATCAAACAGAAGGGTCTGGGTCACCACGGATTCTTCCATTGGCGCACCCACATCATTAGCTTTGTGGACAAAAACTGGAACTACTTATTCGGATCACATGTGTAAGCTAAGGTAATAGCATTGCTTCCTGAAAACCCCCTAAATAATATCTATGCTTAGGCGCCGTCGCAAGCAGTGGACTGGTTCCGTATCCGGAGCTCTATCGCACAACAGCCCGGAGTACTTTCAGTCGGGACTGGATGTCTTCCAGGAGCATGGCTGGTGGAAACTTGCCAAGCCGTTTCGAACACCCAGAAGCGTCCTCAAAGAATGTGAGTACTCATTCACTACAATATTCTGGCCATTTATGTTAAACTTTCCCTACCCATCAGATGCGAAAAAGCAGCTGCAGCGTCAGCAATTGCGCATTGAAAAGCGTTTGCCCGCCACGGATGAGACCAGCTGCAGCAGCGAGATTTCAGTGACCGATCATAGCCAGGACAACAGTCAACTTACAGGGGTAGAAGCTGAGTCAAGCCATACAGCAGAGGGCTGTGCCCGTACCATGTATGATTCTAAACTAAATGAAACCAACTTTTATATACTTATTCAAAATGTCTCCCCTTTTAGTCCCTACATGGGTCGGCAGCCAAAGGTGCAGGCACCACCTTCACCCTTGCCACAAGAAACGCTTCCAACGCCACCAGCTCCTCTTGAAAATATAATTCCAACCAGTCACGAGGAGGAGGAAGAGCCGCAGCATCAGCCGTTGAGTATGGTTCAGGCAAGCCTAATGGATTTCCTGGCTGAGAGTTTGGGAGGCGATGATCTTAGCATGTTTGGCAGTCTACCAGGCATAATGCCACCTCCACTGATTGGAGCGGGTAAAAGTGATTTCTTCATGACCGAACCTTTGCTGCTAGCGCCTTCCAATAGTGAAGGTCTGTACGATATGGACTCAAATTTCAACATACCAACAAGTACCACAGAAGAGGTCAGGGGAAGTAAACAGGTAAAGGAAGAAGTCAAAGAGGAGACCAAAGCCAATTCAATCGAGGAAACCAGCGCCGAAAGTGGTGATGAGCAAAAACAAGGCGAGCAAGAGGATGAGAACATGGAGGAGGATGAAACCTCGGACTATCAGCCACGCATTCTGCAGGTTACAAACTATCAGGCGCAGGAGCCAGGTGATGCCATCAAAGAGGAGTCATTGGAAGAGGATGTTCAGGATGAAAATGACACTTTAGAAGCACAAACCACTTTCCTAGAACCCTGCAAACCAAGTGGATTTGTACGCCAACCTCGTAGAAATTGGCCATGGTTGCAGGAGGCGCAGGATTCCGATGACCTAGCCATTCCCAGCGAGAATCTCCAGCTGATGAGTGTTTACGAGGAGCAAAAGTTGTATCAACGTCTTCATAGAATTTTCTCCCTGGAGCAGCAATGCCAAATATCGATACCCGCCTATGTGCGGCGTCTGTATCGAAAGCTCGCACTACGCAAATGGAAGAGGGACCACAATCGCCCCATATTCAACCTCGACGAGCATATAGATCCCTTGGGGAGAGCACGCTTGAAGATGCAGGGCCATCAGAAGTCCCAAATACTGGATAGATATCAACTATTGGCCCATTCGCGGCAGGATGCAAGGAGCTCCTTTCACGCTCGCCTGGCAGGATGCACTCAGTACGAACTCTTTGAGTCGCCCTACTCTCAGAGGGTGCTCCACCCTTTCATATTCCGTAGCGAAACGATGTCTCCTCCCTGGCTCAAACTCATGTGCGAGCTGCAGCATCGTGGAAATCAATCGCATCCCACGAGATCCACTATCGACTTTTGCTTTGTGAGACCGCAGCATATTCCAGCGGTGAATGCATTACTACAGAGTTCTTTCTGGCCCAACATTGATGGTGACATATATATATACTTTTCTTTAATGAGTATAATTATACTTACTTGTTTTCATCTCTTCCAGTGAGTGAGTGCCTCAGCTATCCGGACTACAGTGTGGTGGCGTTGTATAAAAAACTAGTTATTGGCTGCGGATTCCTGGTGCCCGATGTGGGTTATAACGAGGCCTACATCTCTTTCATGGCTGTGCGTCCGAATTGGCAGCGAAGTGGCATCGCCAGCTTCATGCTATATCATCTCATCCAGACTTGCATGTCCAAAGACATAACGTTGCATGTTTCCGCCAACAATTCAGCCGTAATGTTGTACCAGAAGTTCGGTTTTAAGATGGAGGAAATCATCCTCGACTTTTATGACAAGTACATCCCACTGGACTCGAAGCAGAGCAGAAATGCATTCTTTTTAAGATTACAAAGATGAGAGGAGTTTAAATAAATTTGTTTATCGTTTAAATCTCCCAAAGTATCGTAAAACTATTTCCAAAGTGAAATTTTGAATGCCAAGGTCTATCCTTCGACATATCAAACTTTATTAGTTTTATGTTTTAAGCCTAAAAATAGTTATGCTCAATTTATGTGCCAATCTTAGGCGAATATTTTCTCCTCTCTGCGCTTTTTGGTGACCACAGTGCCCGGTTTGTGTTGCGCCTCCGGGTGATTCATTAGCTCCGGTGGACAGGTGGAGACGGGACTTGCAGACACGCATTGCTTCAGATCGTAGAACAGAGCGCTGTCGTCCTTGGTGACGAACGAAATGGCACAACCAGTCTTGCCAGCACGACCCGTACGACCGATACGATGGGTATAATCCTCGATGGTCTTGGCCATGTCGTAGTTGATAACGAGCGACACATCCTTGATGTCGATACCACGACCAGCCACATCGGTGGCCACCAGGATGTCCTTTGCGCCCGATTTCAAAGCAGCCAAAGCGTACTCTCTCTGCTCCTGACCCTTGCCGCCGTGCAATGTACAGGAGTTGTAGCCCAGTTTCTCCAGTCCCTTGGCCAGCACATCGGCGCCCTTCTTTTGGTTGACGAAGATAATAACTGGCGGATCGATTTTCCTCGACAGGATCTCCATGAGCTTCTTGCGCTTGTCGTTCTCACCCATCATGTACACGATTTGTTCCGTTCTCTCCGTTGGCTTTCCTACGGATCCGATGTAGACCGTAGCCGGACGCCGCAAATACGAGCGTGCTAATCTTTCCACAGCCGGCGGCATCGTAGCCGTAAACATCACGGTTTGGCGGTACTTCTTTTTGGTATAGAAGTTCTCCATCAGCTTGGTTTCGTCCTCAGCCTCCTCGGTATCGGGCTTCAGGTTGGTGACGGGCATGTACTCCAGGATCTTCTGGACATCCGGCTCGAAGCCCATGTCTATCATACGATCGGCTTCGTCGAGGACAATGTACGTACATTGGTTGAGCACCAAGTATCGATTTTCCAGCACATCGATGAGACGACCTGGCGTGGCGATGACAATCTCGCAGCCCAAGCGCAGTCGGAAGCCCTGCTCCTCCCTGGACAAACCACCCACAACGACCACAGTTCGTATGCCCAAGGGTTGGCCAAACTTGGTTGTTTCCTCCTCGATTTGCTGGGCCAACTCACGCGTGGGAGCCATGATAATGGCATAGGGACCCTGATCCACATCCTCCAGTCGTTCGATCTTGGGTAAGGACTGAATCCAGGAGAGCAGGGGTATGAGGAAGGCCAAGGTTTTACCGGAACCCGTCTCAGCCACGCCAATAATATCCCTGTTCTGCAATCCAATGGGAATAGCCTGCCTTTGAATGGGCGTAGGTTCCTTGTAACCCACTTTGTCGATAATGTCAATGATTTCCTTGGGGAATCCAGACTCACTCCAGCTTCTAATGGGATTGGGGATCCTACCACCTTTAATGGTTACGTTATAGTCCTCCCGGAAGATACGCCAATCGCGCTCAGTCATCTCATCGTTGTCTTTTTCGGACCAGTGGCGATCGTCCCACTTTTGTTTGTCCTCCTTCCGCTTCATTTTCTTCAAGCGCACTTTCTCCTGTTCCTTCTCCGCTTCGGTACGCCTCTTCTCCAGCAGATCTCCGTAGAATTTGCTCTGGGTGCGCTTCTGCTCTTTGATATCAATGCCGGCGACGTTTCCTCTGCCAAAGAACTGGACATGATGACGTTCCTTGTAGAGATTATTGTAATCTATGGAGGTATCTTCGCCGGCATCCCAATCGAATACGAATTTGCGATCGTTGAGGCGACGAACTCGACGTTTTTTCTTTATTATACCTAGGTAACGCTCTCTAATCGCCTCCAGTTCCTTTTCCTTGTCCTTGTGCGTGAGATCCTCGGCCCGCTTATCGTCGCCGCGTTCTCCACGATCTCCACGTTCGTTTCTATCGCCCCGATCTCGTCCGCCTCCTCTTTCCCGGCGATCTGGTTTGGGTGGCGGGGCCATGATGGCCGGCGGAGGTGCACCCGAGGCCATGGCCGTGCCCATGGAGATGCTTACCTTGCTGGCGGCAGCCATTTGCTCACGGGCTGCATCGTGGGCGGCCCTCTGGCGCTCCACTTCCTCCTGGCGCCGCTTGATGGCTTCCAGGGCTCTCTGTTCCTTGGTGAGGAAAACTGGTTTGCTTCGGGCCTCCTCCTCGCGTTTCTTCTTGTCCAGCAGCTCCTCCAAGGAGAGAGGCTCCTTCTTATGTTTGCCGTCCTTGTCGTCCTGCTGATCTTCATCGTCGACTATTAAAGGTTTTGGTGGGGCGTCTGCTGGATCCAACTTGGCCTTCTTTTCAGCGCCGCCACTTGGTCCTCCTACTGGTCCGCCAGCACCTCCTCTTTCTCTTGATCGCTCCCGGACATTTTCGCGGGGCCTCTGACGTTCGGGTGACCTTCGTCGGCCGCGATCCTCCCTGGAAAGCAAGTTTATCCTAAATTAAGGAACCTATTTCACCATTATTTAAAATCAAACTCACCGGGAACGCGACCGCCGCTGGCGTCGGTCCTTCTCCCTGTCGTACTGCCTGTCTCGCTCCCTTGCGCGGTCCATATTCCGTTCGCGATCCCGAGGATTTCCCGCCGCCGGCCGATCCTCTCTGTAACGCTCCCGCGATCGCGAGCGACGCTTTTTTTCGTTCACCATCCTTTTTTTTCCAAATTAATTTAAGTTTTTCTGCTGCAAGAAAACAGCTGATTGGCCTGTTTTTAAGTAGTGTTGGAAAACGGTGAGCTCATAAATTACTAACGCCTTAGATATTGGTTCTTTAAAAAAAACTTATCTGCCATAAAATATGTATTTTCTTAAATAATTTCAGCAACATTTCATTATCAAGTTTCCTTAACTATATCCTGTATCTACATCTACACAATTATGTTAGCTTATCAAACCATAGACTTGGTCATCCACCGGTGATTTTCAATTTAGTTTAAATTTAAATTGCTCTTAGCGTTTTTACGAAGCAGAATGTGTAAGTCGAAGTCGACTTCCATTAAAATTTTTTATGAAGACATATTTTGAGAGATAATGGCCCCAATTACAACCCAACTATTCAGAATCAGACTGTAAATGTTCTAAAAAATTGCAATCATATATTTTTTTATTGTTTTCACATTTCAATCCATGAAGCCTTATTTTAGGCATCAACCCAGATTTGGGCAGTGACGTTGATTCCCTGGGAAATCTGGCTCGTAACATTGATTTTGACACTGGTATATCCAATGCCGCCCGTCGACAGAGAGCAATAGGGTCCCGAGCTGTTGGTAAATCTGTCAGTTACATTTATGTACCGAATGGTTTTGCTGTTACCCTGGCCCTGTAAATAAATTTGGGAGATTAGAATATTTAATAATTATTTGCAGATAACGAAATACTCACGGTCAAGGGGAAAACAATTATACCGTTGACATATTGATTGGCTTTCTTGTGAATAGTCAAGTTCTGGGTGCTGGCTAGCTTACTACTCGAGAGTTTTGATCCCCAACTGGCGTTGGCAGCAAAAGCAATGGCCACAATGGCAGAAAACACAAGAACGATTTGCAGAGTCTTCATTATAAATTCGTACCTCACGCTATTGAAAATTGCACTGGTTGGACCCCACTTTTATAGGAATTTCGCCAAAGACCCCAAAACTTATCTATTTTGAGGAGCAATATTTGATTATCAATTCTTTAGAACGCCGCCCAATTAACTGCATGATGATGGCTTATCATTCGCTTGGTCATCCTCCGGTCATTCCTGTTATCAATTTCAGAGTCTTTCAAAGTATTTAACAGCATTTGACATTTTAAATTGTTATTTAAAATTTATGTCTAGTTTTCTTTTATTAATTGGGTTTTTCAATGAAATAATTTTTAATTATTTTACTATCATTTCAATAAAAAACTAGTGGTATTTCCACGTAAGGTTGTGTTCTGATTAGATTAGAAATGAAAAATCTGTTTGAGGCATCGAACCGACATATAATTTTAGCAGCGGATTTAAACAACATATTTTTAGATTCGTCCGAAATAATTATAATATTTATTAATATTTATTTGTATGTATTAAGATCTGTTTTTGCAGTAAATTGGCATGTTTAAAATTTGTGTCAAAAATTTGAAATTTTCTACGACGTTGGTGCCTGAATAACGTTATTCGTGCGATACATACTGCAAATATATAGGTATTTTTTGGTTTCGTTCTCAACCGTATTTTGGTATTTGTGATAATGCTGCCACACTGATAGAGACAAAGGCGTAGTGGGGGTTAAAGAGGTTTCAAACTCCGTTACTTTTTACTTCAGAGCAATTTTTTAGTAATTAACGGTCCTGAAAAGAATATTTTTGAAACAGAATGTTTTTGGTGTTTAATGACTATGGCATAAGGGCTGATGCTAAAAGTTTGGAGCCCCTATCTTGCGAAACGAACCCCGTTGTGAAGTTTCTAGTCCCCGTCCATGGCTTAATATTATTCTTATTGGTCTGCGACAGCTGGAAATTGTAGGCGTTCGCTTGAACGTCTTTATAGTGTTTCCGGATTCCACGGACCACGGACATCGAGATGGCTACGGCGGAGCAGGAGACGGCTCCAATCGCGAATTCCCGAAACGGTCGGTCGGGCAGTGTCTTTAGGAGTTTTGGATCTCTGTTCGGTAGCCAAAACAGCGGGGATCGCCCGCAAACGCCGCAGGATGGCGATGGGTATGTGGAGTTTGGGATGCAGGATCCGGAGCGAAATGGCCGGACCCTGGGCACCTTTGCCGGGGTCTTCTCTCCGGTTGCCCTGTCCATGTTTAGTGCTTTGGTTTTCATCCGTGTGGGTAAGTTTGGCGGTGACGTCACGGAACACTTGTTGTGATGGTCCATTGAACTCGGTTTTTCTCTATTTTAATCTCTTTGTTCAGGTTACATCGTTGGCAATGCGGGCTTGTACATCACGCTGCTGCAGTTCCTCATCGCCTACGGAATTCTGCTCTTCACTGTGGCTTCTGTCTGCGCGATTTCCACCAATGGAGCCATCGAAGGAGGAGGCGTCTACTGTGAGTCACTAACTGATTTTTGAATTACTAAAGGGCCTAACGAATTATACAAACAAAAATGATAAGACTTAACAAACCGCAGGCAGTATTTATAGGGCTCTTGTTACTCAGAAATGATGCACTTACTGTTTTTTATATCCAAATTTAGAGGTTTAAAATGTGGTAAAAACATTCTATTGTAAAATTGTATTTATTATAATTTAACGAGATTAGACTTAAAAATGGATCTTCAATCATCATACTTTAAATAATACCTTTACAAAAACATAAATCATAGAACATTGAATGAATGTTTTCAAAGTTATTAAACACTTTTTCTTGCATTTGAAAGAAATAGTATTTAAAAAACACAAACTCCCTAAGCTCTAATGTGATAATTTAATATACTTTAACGGGCATTTATTTAGCATTGTCAGTGAATATACCCAAAGTCACAATCGCAACTTAAAGACTTGTCAAATATGCCATGTGTTAATTGTGGTCTGCCATTCACACTTTTCCAACGATAAAATACTTAAAAAATAACTCCAAAGATAGAATATTTAGCTCCCTAGGAATATAAATTCAGTGGGACAATCTAAAGCTTAATTTGTGTATTTTCTAAAAACTATTTTTACTAATATTTATCAAATTTTTAACTAGTCATGATCAGTCGCACTCTGGGCTTGGAATTTGGTGGCTCAATCGGAACTCTCTTCTTCTTTGCGAATGTTGTGGGATCTGCGATGGCTATTTCCGGTTGCACTGAGGGCATCATGGACAACTTCGGACCAGGTGGACACTTCGTAAGCGGGGAACACACGCTGCCGGATGGAAAGTGGTGGCGTTTCCTCACCAGCAGCATGCTGAATACCCTACAGCTGCTGGTTTGCCTGGTGGGTGCTGCTCTTTTCGCCAAGACGTCAGTGATAATTTTGGGCACGGTGACCGTTTGCCTGTTCGCCACGTACATCAGTTTCCTGGCTGTGGGTCCCACCAACGATACGGTAAGTTACCCACTACTAATTACACCGAAGAAAATATAAGCTAATTTCACATATGAAAATTCCTAACGATAGGACATTTTTACTACATCGCAAAACTTAATTAAAAGTTATTTTTGATAAAAGGCTAAAAGCTTTTTTTCCACTGTGTACCAATCGATTTCCGCGTAAATGCCCTGTCGCGCTTATCAATCTAGATGTTTTATCAATATCTAGGCTATCTAGGGCTCAATGTGGCTTTATTTTAAATATTTGTTTTGGACTATTCAAGGTTGATAAAAAGTCGGTTGAAGCTGGTCAGAAATTCGATTTAGAATAATTTATACTGGAGATTTTGTTGGTGGTGATTCACCAAAATTTTAGTTTTGTTACTATCTCAACGGGGATTTATCCAAAATATTTTACAGATAATAAAGAAAAATTTTGTTGGTTGATTCATTAAGGGGAAGAAATGGTCAGTAATTACTGAATTTATATCATGAAAAAGTACAAAAGACTCGTGGAGTTTTTTGGCTGTGTACTGTGATTCGTTTTCGATTTTGCTAAAATTACTTTAGATATCGAAAATAGTACTTTTTCGTGAAATCAATTAGTTTATTTGAAATGATTTACCCTAATGACTAATCGCTAGAGCAAATATTTCGCACAACGTGGTAATGGTTTTATGCTTTCTTAAAAATCAGCATTAATTGAATTAAATCATTTTTATAAATAAAATATGTTGAAAACAATAAAGTTTCGCCTTGGGGTTTAAATATCAAGAAACAAAACAAAAGGCAAAATTAACTGATAAGGCAGTTTGAGTCATAAAAAGGCCGCACCAATTACAAGATATTATTCTATGCAAAACAAAAAGTTTTTTCAATATTTATCTATAAAAAGTTCATACAAATCCGGTTAAAATTTATTTGAAATATATTTCTTTAGTAAATTTTATCAACGTTTTAGTAGTTTTAACATTGGAAACAGAAATTTATTTTTTGGACAGATAAAGTACTTAGCTGTTGCGATAACAAAAATGAATGGTATTTGTTTGCTGATTTCAGATACCCGTGCCAGGCGAGAATAATTTATCGAAAACATTATCCTTCCTCAACTATACGGGTCTGAATGCCACCACTCTGCGGGATAATCTCGGATCCCACTATGGCGTGGATTACACTTCGAATGGAAAACAAGTGGACTTCTCCACCACCTTCGGTGTGCTGTTTTCGGGAGTTACGGGTATTATGGCCGGTGCAAATATGTCCGGGGAGCTAAAGAATCCATCGAAGAGCATTCCCTGGGGCACACTATCCGCCGTGGCATTTACATTTGTCTCCTACATCATCCTATCGTTTCTGATGAGCTGCACCACTCCGTATTTCACCATGCAGAATAACTATCTGTTTTTGTTGCCGGTGAATGTGTGGCCTCCATTTACGGCAATTGGTATCTTGACCGCTACCTTTTCAACCAGTCTGAGCAACCTGATCGGTTCCAGCCGGATTTTGGAAGCCTTGTCCAAGGATCAAGTTTTTGGCAGCCTGCTGAACTTTGTGATTCATGGCACATGGAAAGGAAATCCCATCGCAGCGGTTGCGGTGAGCTGGTGCCTCGTGGAGTGCATCCTGCTGATTGGATCCTTCAACATCATTGCCCAGATCAACTCGGTGCTCTTCATGCTCTCCTATTTGGCCACCAACCTGGCTTGCCTGGGCATTGAGCTCACGGGTGCTCCGAACTTTAGACCTCTGTTTAAGTACTTCACCTGGCACACCTGTCTGGTTGGATTATTGGGCACCCTGATCATGATGTTTGTGATCAATCCCATCTATGCCTCAATCTGCATTATTCTGTGCCTCATCCTCGTGATTGCATTGCACTTATTCTCGCCGGCCACTCAGGCAGCTCAATGGGGTTCGATTTCCCAGGCCTTGATGTTCCATCAGGTGCGAAAGTACCTTTTAATGTTGGATCCCCGCAAAGATCACGTTAAGTTCTGGCGCCCACAAATCCTACTGCTCGTCTCATCACCACGATCCTGCTGTCCTTTGGTGGATTTTGTCAATGACTTGAAGAAGAGTGGTCTGTACATCATTGGACATGTCAAATTGGGCGACTTCAAGGGTGTGGAGGATGCCGAGGAGAATCAGCAGTGGTGGTCGTTCCTTGATCACATGCGAGTAAAGGCCTTCACAGAGGTCACACTGAGCCGAAGCATTCGCGAGGGAGTCCAACACTTGATTCGCCTGTCCGGAATTGGAGCAATGAAGCCGAACACCATTATTCTGGGCTTCTACGACAACGAGGCCCCCAGGGATTTCTTCCAAAAGTTAGTCAAAATATTTTATCTACCAATATTACATCGCCTATTTATCTTTTTCTTGTTATAATCTTTTTATCAGCGGTTCCTCCCCATACAAAACCGATGACTTCAACAATGGTGAAATACAAAACTTTCCCATTCGACGAGATGGCGATCCCAAACAGTTCCAGGTCCAGGAGTACGTGCAAATCCTTTGCGACACCCTGAGAATGAAGAAAAATCTCTGCCTGTGTAGAAACTTCCAAAGATTGGACAAAAACTTCATATCCATGTGAGTGGAGGTTTTAATTTTAGTATTTTGAACCCACTGAAATATACATTATTTCGTAATGCAGAAGCAAACATGTGAAGTACATTGATGTGTGGCCCATCAATGTGTTTAATCCCACATCTGGAGATCCCTTCGATATGGTGTCCTTGTTCATGATGCAATTGGCGGTGATTATGCTGGCTAAGTGGAAGCATCTACGAGTAAGAATTTTCCTGTGCGAGGCCAATGACGAGCGGTCTGTGAGGTAAGTTAAATTAATTAATGTGAAAATAGATAATAATCAATTACCTACTTTATTTCCTCCAGTACCTTTGACACCCAGGCCCCTCAGATGGAGATTTTCTCGAAGGTGAAGCTGGAGCAATCCCTCAAGGAGCTGCGCATCACAGCCGACATTGTGGAGATCCAGGAATGGAGCCGCGACACCGATTTCAGCCGTCATGCCCGCAACCTTAAGCAGTTCACCGCTCAGGCGGACAACGTGCTGTTGGAAGATGACGACGAGGTGGGCGAGGAGACGCTGAATCGCTCGCTGCTCTACATGCAGCGGGCCAATCAAATAATACGCGAGCGCTCGGATCAGACGGCATTATCGTTCATCTATCTGGCTGCTCCGCCGAAGCTTTCCACGCCGGATTTCGCGCAGCGCAGCGCCAGCTACATGGAACTGCTTACCGAACTGACCGCCGAGTTGCCGCCCACAATTCTCGTCCATGGTGTCAGTACGGTGACCTCCACAACGCTCTAGGCTTCGACTGCAAGATATTTGCATTCCCATGAGTGATAAAATCCAGCGTGCAACCGGATTAAACCAATTGCGAGAGGGTCTTTCGATCGTTGTGTGCGTTCCTGTGTGCTTGGAGCTTTAGGCATAATCGAGAAATATTATTCACTAGGGTGAGACGATTGTTTTGGTATACAAAAATCCAAGAGTAAGAAAGTATGCTCAATAAGCAAAAAATTTGTTCTATTATAATATTTGATTTTAATTATTGTTTTATTAAGATTCAAAACTATTTAACTTTGTCTCCTTATTATAGTATACCATCCATATCGTCTCACTCTATTAAACAAGTATATCTCCAGTACATTAATATAATGTTGTAGCTAATATTTAATATTTATTCGCACAGATCCACAGAACAATTAATATTGTACAATTTAAATCAAAAAATACTTCATATCAGAGAACTAATGCATACATTTAGAAAAACCCCATGTGGACCATCTCGTAACTGCTAAATAATATCATTTTTAAACTCATCCCCAACCGAATCCACACCGATATTAACCTGTTTGTGATTAAATATATATAAATTTTACTTCTTCACGATAAAACATAGCGCAAGGCTAAAAGTATTAGATAACCGTAGTAGATTGTGATTGTAAAATTGATGATTTCATATTGCACTTAGTTTGTAAGCCATTTTTGGAAGACCCTCACAGTTTTGACGGTCATTGATGGATTGTTTTAGAAGAATATTTTGTGTGTGTAAACTTAATAGAACTGTGGCTAACCGTATAATATAATTATTGATCACAGCATTCATTGTAATCAGTTCTTTCCAATAATTTAAATAAAGACTTAGAGATATGTATTTATGTAATTGATAAATGTTTTTTTTTACTGTGAGACTCGTGAAGATATAAACCCTTGGAAATATAAAAAAAAACTAAGATAAAATACAGTAAACTCCAATCTGAAAAACCAGCATAAGTGTTAACTGTTTGGTGCCCTTTTGTTCTCTATATCAAAGAGGCAAGCGGAATTTTCGCAGCATGTGTAATGATATCCTATTCATAGTTATTTTATCATAGCATCCATTAACACTTTCCGGTCTTATCTGCCTTATACTTTGTTTGTGAATCGTTTACCGCTACCATTAAATGCTTATTAAGATAGGAGTATGTGAGCGGGTCACGTGTAAAGGAGGTCACTGATTGCCCAGCAGGAGAATCGAGAAAATCAGGAGCAACGGCAGACGGTCAATAGAGTCATAAATGTCACCCGGAATACGGTCGATCCTGTTGTTGCACTATTTATGTGATGACAATTTATGATACCCATCGGCGTCGCACTATGGCCTCGGCCCTGATTACCTGCCCATGTCCTTGCGAGGATCACTCTCCGTTTCTGTTACTGTTCCTGTTACTGTTTTTATCCTGATCACCACTCAAGTGTCAATAAATTCCCATAAACGCACGCAATTGCCTGACACTTTTTCGGGGCGCTATCCCAAAAATTCTGTTGATAGTAAGGGTTAGTCCTTGTTAGGACTTTGAAGTGTGTCGTAAGTTATGGCATGAGTTTTGTGGAATTTGTCGCATTCTTCGAGAGATCTAAAAAAATATATAAATATTTATAAATTAACCTTATTTAGTCGTTTTAGGATCATTTTATTTAACTGCCTAAAAATTGATTTTTCAGTAAAAACTTTTCAAAAACTCTTAATTAGCTAAAACTGTTAGTAATAATTACAAAATAATTTTAAATTTAAAGGCAACTCCTTCGCCTTATTAAATCCTTGCCAGACATGCTGTCTGGAAATTTTTGCACACCTGTGTGTACCCAAATATTCGGAGACCACAACAAATTTACTAGGAAACAAACAAATAGTTGCATATGATAATTCATAATTCCAGATTATTACATGGTAATTATGCTCAGAACAATGGTGACTGAAGTCGTATCCATTTCTGACTTACAATGGGAACAAAAACCCATTTTTTCGTATTGTATAACAAAGAATGGGATCAACAAGTGTCGGCCAGGGAGAGATTCCCATGGAATTTCTTGTGACTTCGGGACTCGGGACTTCTAATCGCATTTTCGCAATTTAGCGCCAACAGCTAATCCGCAAAACGAAAACGATTAATCTGGCAGGGAAAACCCAGAAACACGCAACCGCCTGACGCATCCAGGGATTATCATCAGTTGACCTATTGTTGGTCAGAAGAAAGGCATGAGAGGTATAGAGGGTATAGCGTGAGGGGCCTACTTTCAACCAGAACCGCCCACCAGCCAACTACCTATTGTTGCTATTTTGACAGGGCCAAGGAGGAAACCTCTCGAAATCCCAGGTAGCGCTGCACCGGAATGCTAATTGGAAATCCCAGAACATTTTCGAAGGGGGTGTTGCCGATCTTTAGGCTATCCGCGCGCATCTTTCTCCCGAATATATTGCAGCATAATGCCTGATCAGGATCAGCCAGGACTTCAACTAAGCTGCGGTCGCGTGGCACTCTCCGCAAAGGCGATCGGCGACTTCGATCCATCAGCGATCAACATCACCGTCAAGATCAAACGTCATGATCCTTTGTCGGCTTTAGGACTTTGTTCCTTGACAATTTGTGTGAAATATCTGGTCCATCTTGCAGTGGGCATCACATCATTTGTACTCTTTAGCCATGCCCGGCGCTTCTCCTGCTGGCCAGTGTGTTTTCCAATTGTTTTGGCCGCTTTCCTTAGAAATTCAGCGAACTCTTCGAATTGATTTTCCCCCTAATGCTGCGAGTCTGTGGAGTTAATTAACCTTTCGATGCGGCTACTTGAAAGTGGGCTTGAGCCGCAATGGATTTCAAAATGATTACTGTGTGGAAAGTAGAGCGTTTAAATGGAGGAAAGGATTTTGAACAGATTGAAACAGAATATAAAAGGATATATTTAGAAACTATAAAATAAAATAAAATAGTTTAACATAAAAATTTACAAAACAATTTTATTTAAAATCGTAGGTCCAAATAAAAAATATATTTAAATATATATATATATCACAAGAATATGTTATTTAAGTTTCTTATGAATTAGTTTTCGTCACCGAAAATACTCATTTTTTCTTCAAAATCGAAAAATCTTTGTTATTACATACGTTCTTTTTTAATTTTTAAATTTTTTAAATTCTGAATGGAAATGGAAATTAAATTATTTATTTTTTTATATACAACTTTTCTTGATAACTACAACGAATTTGTGACCCATTTATGTGAACCATCGCTGGAAGCTCGGAGAAAGCCACTTTAAAAATATCTCTTTAAATTTGACCCAATAAAGTAAGTACAATCGCCTAAAATCGAAAGTTGCAAACCGCACAAGCCAAATTGTTCTTCTTTGTTCTGTTTCTGTCCAAGAGCTGGTAAACCCCCAACCAAACCGACACTTACTAGACCACAGACATGCAATGAAGATGATCCAAGGGGATCTTCGGTGGATGCAAATAATATTATGGAAATGATTCCCACATGATCAGACGCCTTTTTGTTTGCTCGCATTCTGACCTTGGCAACAATGGTTTGACTATAAAGTCAATTTCAGAGCAAGTAACAAAAGAGGTATGATTACGGACGGTAGCCAAATGACAGGTCAAACAAAAGAAGTCGACCTGTAGCTGGATACAGTGAATACCCGGGAGAAAGAGAGAGGGACAGGCGCAATTAAACGTTTTGACCGCAAGCCAATTTAAGGGCACGGGCTGGCCTTTTGATCCTCAGGAGGCAGACATATTCGGCTACCTGAGAGGATCGGATCGGTTCCAGACAGCGAATCAGGTAGCAGGCACATAAACTCAACCAATCACGGAAGAGCCGAATCCTCAGCAGGCGGCTATATAAAGGTCGACCCTTCCAGTAGCCACTTCAGTTGTCCTTTGAGCCTGCAAACGCAATCATGTTGACCAACAACGAGCTAATGGAGCAGTTCTACTTCCCCGACGAGTCGCCAGCGGTGCCCGAGTTCCTGGCCAACGATACCTTCCAGCAGTTGGAGCAGCTCATGTACCAGCAGGAGTTCAGCAACAGCGATAGCCAGTCCGATGGAGCCAACAGTTGCTCCTTGGAGATGTACTACGATACCCCGGCTGTCCTGGAACTGGAGCATATGTTGAGTGTCCAGGAGCAACAGCAGCAGCATCAAGTAAATCACTTGGGCAAGATGCAAGGAAGGAGTTCAAAACAAAGGAGCAAGCCCTACGAGAAGCTGTCCACCTCCATGTCATCATCCGCTTCCTACACCTCCTCGAGCAGCTCATCGTCGGCGAGTTTCGGCGGCGAAGTCCTGAAAAAGCGGCGACTGGCGGCCAATGCCCGTGAAAGGAGACGGATGAACAGCCTGAACGACGCCTTCGACAAGTTGAGGGATGTGGTTCCGTCGCTTGGTCACGACCGGCGACTCTCCAAGTACGAAACCCTGCAAATGGCGCAGGCTTACATCGGAGATCTGGTCACGTTGCTCTCCAGAGACTACTAGCCAGTTGGAGAATCCCTCATCCTTCCTTCAAGCGGAAGTCCCTTTGCGGGATGTGTTGCAGCAACACTTTCGACCTAGTGGAAAACTTATAAAGGCTGTTAGTTTTTAGTCTATTATCATAGTTGTAAATAATTGAAAGCAATAATTGTCTAATAAAATGTAAGAATTTAAATATTATTATTTTAAATGCCCAACTTTTGGGAAACGAGAAGGAAGCTGCAAAAACAAAATTACCGGAATTTGTAAAATCTTTTAGATTAAAAACTGGCTTAAAACTAAAGTTACTTCCATTAATAAGTAAAAAAGTAATCAGAGCGGAAATGTATAATTTTTCAAAAAGTTTATTTCGGTTTTTATTACCAGATTAAAGAAATAAAAAAAACATTACTTTTTTATTTTATGGTTATATTACCGATTTTATGTTAGGGGTGTGACACTGAGACAAACAAATTAACTACGCCATTTTTTTAGTCCCTTATAGTTTGGATCGTTTTTAAAAAGAAATGTACGATTTTTTATTATGCAGATTTAATAAAACCCAAGATAGTTTAAAAATATCTTCGAAATCAATAACTTTAAATTAAATATTATCAATTTAATTTACAATTTATCATTTGTTAACCATTTAATGAAAACAAATACTCAAAAAATAAAACAATAACAAAATTTAAATAAATGTTAAAATTAATAAACAGAAAATATAAAAACTTAATTAAAGTCATACATACAAAAGTTGTTGCTCACGCTAGATGCAACTATTTAAATACCTCTGGTTTAAAATCCATTTATCAATCAAAAATTTCTTCTCAACATTTGTTTACATTCGCCACACTTTCATCTCAACGTAAAAAGGGTACCCGTGTTATCCTTGAGATTTGAGCGGCATGGCTAAGTAGGGAGTGTGCCACACCCACGAACCAGCGGCAAAGGTCAAAACATCAGTTGCCAACAGAGAATTAATGAGTTCCGACTTCCGACGCAAACTGAAGGGAACTCCAAAACAGAAGTGATTAAATGCCGCAAACGTCAACAGGTAAGCAGTCAGGATAAACACAGCCATATCCTTAGATCCTCCGAACTCTAGACGAAAATTGATTTAAACATAGTCATTTGTAAATGCTATGGGAATTGTGGGTGGATCCCGGATCCCAAACGGAAGATAGTGTTCCAGTAAATAAAACAGGCAAAGTCTCGGACATAAAGTTTTAAATTTCGAATATCACATTGATGTTTGTATTTATAGAACTAAATACAGAGTATTAACTTAGCTTACTAATATATCTGGGTTGTATTGCTAGAATCCAAAATGAATCTCATAAATGTGCTCTTCACTTTCTACACATATGATAAAATTATTGAAATTTTAGTTAAGTCTTTGGTTACTATTAATTTTCTTGACCTAACATCACCGAGCTATCAAAAAAATAACTAAAATAATAATAATATCAATCCCGTCGATACTTATTCGCCTGGAAGACTTGGTAAGACACTGTTTTTAGTAAGCCAATTGCGTAAAGTATTTACAAAAAATGCAAATTTATTGCGATTCCTGTCAACGAGATCATTGTATTGGCTTGCTAAGGGTATTGCAACTTTGGGCATGAATAACTATTCCATAAATAATATATAGACATTCCCGTTTTTGCATTTATACGATTTACTCGCACTGTTTAAAAGAGAAGGAAAAACACAATTTTGAAATCGTTTTTTCTATGCGTAAGCGGCAAAACCAGCGGATCGGACAACTATATCCTGTCATAGAAACGATCGGGACAAGTTAGCTAAATAGTTTAGATTATGAGAACATTTGATTAACTTTGGCTTGTCTTTACTCATAACCAAATGTGTAAATTATAAATTTAAATGTTGCATATATTTGTTAAATATAATTATCATTTACAATTAGTGAAGAGCATATAACTTTTTTTACCAATTCATTTTTGGACTAACTTTATAACTATTTACAATAATTAATATCTATGTTTAGCACTAAGAACTATAAGCAAAGGCGCATTAACTAGTTAATAGAGATTATGTAATTAATCTAAGTCAACACACTAAACTTAAGCTACGACGAAAGTGTAAATTGAAAGTCTTTGAAAGTGTTTGTCTAAGATTCTCCTTTGGATGAAGGCTACGGACGTTGACTTATTATCGATAGATGAATGAAGCACAGTGGATGTACTCTAGTATTTATTAACAAGAAAATAAGTCAAGAAAGCTCGTGGTTTATTTTATTTAACTTTTAATTTCGATTTAAGTTTAAATTGAAAAAATTCAAATTCCCTTGCTTAATCAACAGTCGTGGGCAGGCAATATTATACAATGCAATGTACAATATATTCCGCCAATGTCATCTGCCCACCGCCCAAAGGGAAACCAAGACATTTGTTTGGGGTTAATGTGTTATCTGTTCTATACAATACACTTTTTTGTTAAATTAAATCAAAGTGAGATGGTCAAGTCTAAAACTAGGGATTCTCTCTTTTTTTAAATCTATATAATACGTAATTACATCATCCAAGCTTTACCACGCATGCGCCCGCGTCCCCGCATCGGACCGCCGGGTCCTCCTCCTCTTGGAAAGAATGGGCGTGGCCCAGGCCCGGGCCCATCGAATCCTGGGCCAGGCATCCGTTGATAGGGCGGTCTAAATGGCCCCGGTCCCGGTCCGTTCCAACCCCGGCCTCTGCCACGCCCGCGCTGCATGCCATCGGGACCGTTCATCGGTGGCCCGGGGAAACGCTGAAAGGGCGGAAAGGGTGGTCCAAAAGGAGGTCGCGGTGGTGGAGGAGCTGCACCTCCTCCCATTTGCATGGAATTCATTTGGTTCCAGGGCTGCTGCTGTTGGTGTGGTTGGTGCTGCTGCTGATGTTGATGCTGATGATGTTGCTGCATCTCTTGCTGCTGATGCTGCTGCTGCTCATGTTGCTGTTGTTGCTGCTGCTCATGCTGCTGCTGCTGCTGCTGCTGCTGATCCTCCTCGTCGGGCAAAGGTGGACCCATAAAACTATTGTTCGCCTCCCAGGGATTAATAAACTCCGACGGAGTTTCAAGCAAAACAGGACGCGAAGGCGTCAAGGCGCCATTGGCTTCACCATCTGTCTCTCCATTATCTTCCTTGACTTCTAAAAGTTTTAAACAAAATTGGAATCATATATTCGGAAAAGTTCGTTTTAATTATTACCTCTCAGTGACTCATCAATATCATCGTCCGACATGTCCATATCAATTACCATATCAGAGGGATCGTAGCGAGCAGCGCCATCCACGCGATCCGATTCAGATGAGGAGCCTGCTTGAAGGATTATATTTGTATTTTGGATTTGAGATTTAACAACATTTGAATCGCACATACTGGCATTGGATTTAAGCGGTGAACTGGTCTTGCTTTTGGCATAGCTATTACCAGGGGGAGCCATGATGCCTTCATCATTGGGATTTGGCACAATGCGGTAGTCCACATCTCCGCCGGTAAAGTCCTGGAACGAACGTTATAAGTTTTTAGTTAAATGCTCATTAAAATCTAATCAAGACAATGATAACCAACCTTTTCTGCTCCGCCCGGCGAACCAGTGAGCGATATTAAGTTCCTGTGGTCAATGTCGACCAGCTGCCTGGACTTGTCCTTGCTCAAACCCAATTTGGCGCCAAAATCGAAGGCCGGCGGTAGCTGCAGGGTGCGATGGTCCACATCCTCGGCGCCCAGCGCTGCGGAGTTCGTGTGCAGATGCTCGTTATATTCGAGGGGCGCGGCCGTCGAGCTGCCCTTCCTCTCAAAGTGTGGCGGCGAGTGTGGCGTCGATTGATTCGCATATGAGGAGGAGCTTGCTCCGCTGCTATTTAAGCTAGAGTCGAGCGGCGTCCAGGCCATGCTCATATTCCAGGTGCTGTTGAAATCATCCGCTGATCCACTAGAGGGTCCAAGAGATGGAGGTAAGGGTGGCGGTGGCATCGGCGCCGGCGTGTACTCCTGACTGCCGCCTCCGTTGCCATTGCCACCGTAGAGATGCGAGGGCGGTGGCGGGACATATTGCTCTTGGCTGCTAGAGCCAAACAGGGGCGGATTGGGAGTGTACTCAGCGGATCCACCTCCGCCAAGACCCGGTATGGAGCTGCTGTCGGAACTGGTAATGGGTTCGGGCTTGTAGAAATTGGCACTCGGCACATAGGCCTCGTCATCCGATCGCGAACCGATCACCTCAATGGCACTTCCCCGATCCTTCGAGTCCCGCTTGAAGTCGTTTATGTCAAAGGGGAGCTTGCCACCATCCAGATAGCTTGTGAAGCCATTGAGACTGCCGCCGAAAAGGTTCTATTAAATAAAACATAAATTGATTTATGGGAAAAATAATTTAAATAGTTTTTAATACCAGTGGCAAATTGTTTTCTTCGGGCAGTTGGAGATCTGCATCGCGCTCGGGTGACGGAGCATTAACGTCCGGCGATGGTATAGGACTGGCCAAGTTCGGTATTGTCTCGTCCAGCTTTCTTTTTACGATTTTAATGCGCGTGCCAAAGCTTTTATAGGCCTGTAAAATATGAAACGAGCTTAGACTTTGTACATTATACAACTCCATTAGTTCAACCTACACTGGCCACCACTTTGACTTCCTTTCCCTGATGCTCGTAAAACTTCTTGGCCGCTTCGATGCTGGCTAGTACCGCCTTCCGACTCTTAATCTCATTCTGCAGGTTCTTATTGTAGGCATTGATGAAGGCCACACACCGTTCCACCTCCTTCTCGATGTCCCCGGAGTGGCTCTTGTCCTTCAGCTGCTGCTTGATAACCTCGATCTCGAAGGTCGGCGGCTTGGGCAGCTTCTGCATGCTTTTGTCGGTGGTCTCAGCCAGTTCGACGCACTCCCGCACTTGGGCTATCAAGGTCGCGTTCTGAAACTCATCGCTGACATCGATCTGGGACTTTTTGGGCGGCGCTATGTTCAGCAGGCCGCTCAAGTCGCTTAGGTACTCCTCGTTGTAGATCTCACGCTGCTCCC